TAAGTGTTCTCACCACGAAAATAAAAATCAAGAAAAGTAATACATTTGTCAGTTATCTAGATTTAACCATTCCACAATGTATTTATACAGTAAGCCCTCATTTAACACAGTCAATACATTTTTGGAAACCAAGACTTTAAGTGAAAGAACATACAGCAAATCTTTTAATAACCTTGTTTTGTTCAACATCAGTTCATTATAATATAAAGGAGAAAAAAAATGCTGTTTTTATGTATCATTTTCCAGGACCTATTTATTATGTTATATGAGGAAGTACTGTACTACAAAACATGTTATTCCTAATAAATACATACGATTTTGTATGTCAATTTTAAAAATAAGTAAGTGCATTTGAAAAAAATCAAAGTTGGATTTGTTAACTTCATTAGAGCCCAAAGTTTGTTCAAATTAATACCAACTCATCTCCAATTTTTGGTATATATACATCTTTTATTTACCCACAAAGTGTATTCCTCTACTTGAATTCTTACAGCCATTACGATGGCCAGTACAGATATTATCACCAATCATGTGGATCCATATGTTGTTCTACAGTTTTTTTTTCACATGCTAGTCTTATTGCTTCAGCAACTCAGGGACAGAATTTTTCAGTTATCTTAGCACTCAGGTTAGTACAGTTAAAAAATGTTTTCTACACACAAATATTTTGATCCTTACAACACTAGGTATTATTTTTGTCTCTATTTTACAGGCAAGAAAACAGAATTGGATTAAACCCAAGACTAGCAAGAGTCAAGGACTTGGCAAACAAATACATCCAATTAGTGAGAGAAGCAAGACAGAGCCTTGTTTTCTCTTTTCCTTAAACAGATACATACATAATTTTAAATATGGAACAACTTTTTAAGTTATTTTGTCTGTCCCTTCATTTTTCAGATGAGATAGTTGAATCATGTAGAAGATAAGCGCCTTCACTATTTTTTACATCATCTTTATAATATGCAACTATTGTAATAATGCAAATATCCCATATTATGGTAGATGCACACATATGGTATTAGGTATTGCACAGAAATCTCATCCCAGAGGAAATGCCTCTGTCCCCCAGATGCTGTGAGAATTAGTTACTGTGCCCACATCTGCCCCCTCTCAAGAGAATTGCCTTTGGCAGATGAGAACCACCTTGTCATCTCCCCACTGCTACTAACGACTGACTGATCATAGTTTAAAAAGGCTGTCTGGAGCACTGCCTCTGTTAATCAGGGAAGACTAGATTTTACCTGAGAACACATTCTTCCTTAGCTCTTTGTCCTTCCCTGTTCTGCTTCACTGTCTTCCTTTCTGCTGCAATGTACTTCCTCAATAAATCAGAGGCAATGTAATTTGTGTCTCAGCGTGTTTCTTGGAAACCTGACCTAAGATCGTGTGATCTTATATGGGTGTGTACATGTGTGTTTGGGTGTGTGTAATAGATAATACACTGAATGGTAAACACATAAATAATTTACAATTCTGATATTTCAGTCATATAATTAGGCATATGACTGACAAAAAGGAATCAGGATATGAACCAAAGGGACTGAGGAAGCAAGAGAACAATGCAGATAAATTGACACACAGACTATACCTTTCTTGGAAATTAATAAGTCACTAAATTAAGCCATTACATTAAAGAATAATTCAACAAAACAGCAACTGATTTATAAACCTACTATTTATTAATGAGAGGATAGTAAAATTAATTCTAATTCTAAAATGCACCTGAGTCTGTTCTCCTTAATTTATTGGTGAGGATACAGAAAATGAGAGATGCTCAATTATTTTTTTAAAGTCATCCTGGCAGGCTTTGATAGAATTGCACCTTAAACACTTGAATTTCTGGTTAAACTATGGTTGTTTCCTAAAATGCATAAAACAAGAAAGACTTCTTATAAAGACTCCTGAATTGGCAGTTCAATCAAACAAAATGCATTCGTGGAGGCATTTTATGTACTCAGAAAATACCAGGCTTTGGAAGGGATAATAATAAAAATGTTAATAATTCAATTTATTGAGTGTCACATGCCAAGCGTCGCACTAATAGTTTACTTATGTATTCAGTACATTTTATACACAAATTATGCTTTTCAGTCACTAAAACCAACCTATGATATGAAAATTCACATTTCAGAGAAGGGAAAACTGAAACTCAGACAGGATTTCTCAGACCTGGCAATTTCCAAAGACTGTAATCAGTAAACTATAGGTAGTTAGTAATAATGGGGAAGTAAAAGTCATAAAAAGCTGGATCTGGAGTTCAGCTGTAAGGCAGCGATCCTAGTTGCTCTTGTAGTAACTAATCAGTTTCGGGTGGTCAGCATAGAAATCCCAGGAAGGCAGCATCCAGATGTTGTTGTATCTAAGATGAGAGAAGGGCTGGCTAGGAAGAGATGGAAGCTGTGCTTTATTTATTCATGTTATAGCCAATCTGGTTACATTGTACTAGTCAAAGGGTAGAAATAGAAGAATAATTTTAAAGAGTAAGAAAAGGAGCATTCCTAAAACAAAATGTAATGATGAATAGCAACAGTCACTAAGAGACTCACTGATAAGTTTCCATAGAGTAGTGGGAATAGATTAAAATGTATATACAGGACAAACCATTTGCTCTTTTAAGATGGAACTTGGATATCCAAATAAGAGCTGGAAGACACTCACTGCTAAAATTGGGAGACATGGGTCACGAAGGACCAACAATGACCTTGGGGACATGTAAATACAGAAAAGACAAACTAATCATGGAAAATGAGAGAACAAATGTGACTAGAAACAGCCATTTTGGACCCTTAAGGTCAGATTGAAGTCAGTCTGTCAGTCCAACGTGTGTATGGTATTTTGTGACCCAAATAGACCACATGTACTTATTTAGCTTTATAATAAATGTACCAACATTTGACAAGCAAAATGCCTTCTACATCTAGTGGTCATTTAGTCGTAACTCAGTAAAAAGTTAGAGAAAAACTATCAAGTTTGAATAATGAGGCAAAAATATTTTTCCTTTTTATGCTATTTTGTGTCTACTTATGGCAATGTCTCACAGAACTGCCTATAGCTTAGTAAGTCAAACCATGTCATAAAACTCAAGTGCAATCCCACAACTTACAAATATTAGGGGTAGATTTGTCTAGATACAGAAGAAAAGTACACAAAGTGGGAGAGAATTAACACTGGAAATTCTTACTACAAGGCAAGCAGCTTACATATATTATGTATCACAATTAAATAAAAATAAGATTATTCCCATTTACAGATAAATATGAAAATTTACAATCAGAATAATAATTTCCTAATAAAGTGGGTACAGTGGCTCATGCCTATAATTCCAGAACTTTGGGAGGCCAAGACAGGTGGATTGCTTGAGGCCAGAAGTTTGAAACTAGCCTGGACAACATAGCAAGACTCTGTCTCTACAAAAAAAATTTAAAATTTAGCTGCGTATAGTAGTGCACACCATGGTCTCAGCTCCTTGGGAGGCTGAAATGGGAAATCCCTTGAGCCCAAAAATTCAAGGCTACAGTGAGTTCTGATCTAACCACTGCACTGTAGCCTGGATGACAGAGTGAGATCCTGCCTCAAATCAAATAAAATATGATATAAAATAAAATATAGAAATTTCCCAATACACATAGTTACAGAAATTTAGCCCATTTCCATTAGAACAGAAATATGAAGCTTTTAACAACTTTCTACACCAGTAAGTGGAGAAGAGAATGGGCTGTGGATGCTTCTGAGTCTGGTCTTGCCCACAAAATACATTTTGCCACAGAAAGAGGATTGTGTAGAAGGTAGTTCCAAGGTGATTTTTTCCACATAGCTGATTTGGTTTATTGAGAGCTTCCACTTCACATGTTCATAAAGTAAATAGATTCTAGGAGTTAATTGGAGACATGGCAGCAAATGGTTAACCTTTTTTTAATGGTAAAATCCAACCTGATTTTCTGAGTTCTTAACTCTCTTATAACAGACATTTAGAAGTATCTAATTCTTGAACTTAAAATTAACCATAATTTTAAAATGTGCCTATTGAGTAGACATTGATTTGTGATTATATATTTTGTTACATAAATTAATAAATCTAAACATAAAAATGAAAATGAACAGAAACTTTTGAATTGTGCACCACATGGTGCAATCTATATGCCAACATGAGCATGCAGAAATGTCTGTGTGCTATGTATATGCTACTTGTGATTTATTAATTTATACTTCTTTATTTATATAAACTCAGTATTTAAGATTATTGTATTTTAGAGGTAGAGGAAATCTGAAATTGTTATTCCCCCCCCCCACTTCATTATTGTGCTATGGAAACAAGCCTGGAATGATTGAAATTTTCCATAGATGAACAGAATCAAATAATGATAATTTAACATGGAGACCAATATTATGTTTAATTTTATACAACCAGAAAGTAAAAGTAAATACAGCACATCTTTGAACATGGAAATACCAATGAGTTATGGTGTGTTTGGCCATCGAGTTCTGAAAGTCACTGTGGCCTTGTATTTACAAACATTAAAGATAAAATTATTATCCAAAACAGTGATGTCCAATAGTTTATTAATAAGCATTTTAGATAGCTGTAAAAAACATTGTGTTCTCTAGAGTTCATGAAAATTATGAGCTTAATTTCAATCCAACAGAAGTAATTCTAAAAACTCTAATGTTGTGATGATAATAATTTGGCTAAGAATTTTCAAACTATTGACTAGCAAAAATATGGATAAATTATAATATATGAGCTTCAAAGAATAAATGTACAATTACAAAACTTGGTATAGCAATTTACTTTTAAAAGGCATTTGAGGAATCACCAAATAATTTCAAAATCATGATTAGAAAATCAGCAATGAAATCTGAGACTATTGGTATGACAAATCCTGTTTCAGGCCTTGTTGATCTAGAGCTACTTGCACAACCAGAATTTGCCAAAACAGGAAATAGGTGTTTCATATATATGGCTCTAACCTTCTCTCTCTCCACCTTCCTTCTATCAGCAGATGAAATAAATACTTCATCCTGCTCTGGAAACCACTGGTAAGTGATAACTCCTTTATTTCAAGGTAAACAACACATTTATGCCTTCTCAATGATAAAGTGATATATTCAGTATATTTTATCTACGATTTTCCAAAGTTTATTGATAACTTTTAATGAGAGTAATCATCTTAACATATTCATTTTAAGCTGAGAAGCTAATATATAGACAGCTTTATTATTCCAAAAGCACTTTTATCCAGTTTGATTTTTAAATAAATTTTTGCCTTTCATTCTAAAGTAATATAATTAATTCCCATGTCTATGACTTTTGGGAACAATTGTACTAGAACTATTTTTAATAGAAAAATGAAAAACTATGAATATATGTGTGTGCATACTTTTACATCAGTCACTTTTACTAATATTAAAACATACAGCTATATGAGAAGCCATAGCAAAAGTTTTAAATTGGCTAAAACAAAATTATAGCACTGATCTCGAGATCAAAAAGTATTTTATTAAAGACCATCAACATAAAATGCAGTTTACCTCATGAAATGCACTCAGAGTACCAAAAAAAAAAAAAAGACTTATAAAAGTTTTCCAGTCAAAAGTCAATCTACTCAGTCACGTTTATGTAGGTAATTTAAATATAATATCTATCGTGCATATTTCATCTAAGGAAGCAATTTCCAAATACAGTTTTATATTCTGTAGCACATTAGAAGTGATTATGAAGAATTAGATATTAGGAGACCACAGAACTACCTAATGACAACATGAAAGGGGTTACTTACCACTAGACAGAAGATTTTAAAGTAAAATGCTTTTCTTCCCTGTGGCTAAATGCTATCCAGGAAACTCTACGAGTATTTACAATAGCCAAAGAAGATCCGGTGTTGCCTCTTTTGCTAGTTAAAACCAAATCTAGAATGTGTCTGCCTGTATGACTAAGACTTCTGAAAGCGGATCAAAAGTAATTAAATTGATGACAAGTTTCAAGCGTGGGAGTTACCCTACATTGATGAGTTGTAAGGTAAATTGGGCTTTCTGATTTGTAAGAGACAGGGATGAATTGGAAGGAAGAGCGTCAGAATTCTCAAGTAATGTAAATCTGATATTGCTATGAATTTCAGTTATGTTACTTATTGAATTCAAGTAAAAGGGAGGGAATTCATCCTTGAAAAAAAAAGTGCTTCTCAAGAAATGCAAGACAGCTATTCTTATTTGGATATCTTTACAAATTTCTTACTTGATGAAATATAGCAGTTTTGCAAACTTTGCATATTGGCATAGGCTGCTTTCTGTATCACAGATACATAATAAGATGAAAGAAAGCGATCACAATAAAGATTAACTATTAAATTTTAAGAAAATATTGCATCAAATACTTTTCTGTGCTGTGACTAGTATATAAATGTGTTTATACCTATAGTGCAAGCATTATACTCCCTTGTATTAATGCTTTTGACATCTTTTCTAATCCACATGATCCTTTAAAATATTTCTATAATCTGTTCTCCCTCCTTTGTTTTTTAATGCTGTGATGTTTGGTCTGTCTCTTAAATTTTGTATTTACCTCCATCGATTGATTTATCTGTTCCTACAGTAATATTAAATTTTGTCAACAAAGGTTTGAAGTCTATCTTAATAACTAATATGAAAAGATAATCCAATTAATTCATCTTTATTTTATTTGTTTATTTATTTATTTGAGATGGAGTCTCACTCTGTCTCCCAGGCTGGAGTGCAGTGGCACAATCTCGGTTGGCTGTAACCTCCACCTCCCGGTTTCAAGCGATTCTCGTGCCTCAGCCTCCCCAGTAACTGGGATTACAGGCATGCACCACCACCATGCCCGGCTAACTTTTGTATTTTTAGTAGAGACGGGGTTTCACCATATTGCACAGGGTGGTCTCGAACTCCTGAGCTCAAGCAACTCACCCACCTCGGCCTCCCAATGTGCTAGCATTACAGGCGTGAGCCACTGCGCCCAGCCAATTCTTCTTTTAAAGGTTTACTTAGTTATTCATAAGCCACTTAAAATTTGTATTGGAATTAAAATAAACAATTAGGTTAGTTTAGGATTGATATCTTAACCTTAACATGTACCATTTAAAAGCATTACAAAACTCTCAATTTATTCAGAACTTCTACTATGTTCTTTATTAAAGTTTTAAAATTTTCTCCAAAAAGAATTTTTAATTGTTTTGTTGTTTCCCAGATACTGTATAATTTTTTTAACTGTTATGAGTGTTTCTTAAATCTTATATTCTAGTTGAGTATTTCCAGTAATAGAAATGGCATTTTTGTAAGTTGATAGTGCATCTAGCAAAATTGTTTATTTTGGTGTGTTCTCCAGATAGATGATCGTATCATTTGAAAACAATAACAATTTTACCTCTTCCCTTACAAGGTTACAAATATTACATATAAATAAATATATAAGTTAATATAT